GTCTGGAGTTACGTAGGACTCCAACCTTTTCCATTGATTGTAGAGGGCCCTGCCCGTCTCCTGCGCGTGACACTGTTTCTGAGTTGGCCTTGTAGTGTGTCTTAATGCCTGGTGGGACAGCTTCCCCTTCTGTTCTTTTTAAAACTTCACACCTATTCGTGGGTAGTGGGGTAATTCTTTCATATAAACTTAGAGTAAGTTTGAGTTTTTCAGTTCTTGGAACTGGCATTTTTTGGGGGCGTGATTCACAAGAGAAGAGCTAACCTCTTTCTCATATTAAATATTCCCACCCAAGACCATGGAATGTGTCTCCATTTATCCCATTTACCTTCTGTGTGCTTTGTTAGAGTTCTGGGATTTTCTCCAGAGTGGTCTAGTACCTACTCATGCTTTGTTTTTGGTTGTTTTGTCAATGTATCTCTTCATGTTGCTCTCTCTACATATATTTTCAAAGATTTTATTTATTTATTTGACAGAGAACACAAGTAGGCAGAGAGGCAGGCAGAGAGAGGAGGAAGCAGGCTCTTTCTGAGCAGAGAGCCCGATGCGGGTCTCAGGGATCATGACCTGAGCGGAAGGCGGAGGCTTTAACCCACTGAACCACCCAGGGGCCCCAGTGTTGCTATGTTTTTAACTGGTTATTGTTGCTGTATGAAATGCTGTTGGTTTTGGAGGGTTGATCTTGTACTTGGCAACTTTGTTGAACTTGCTGCTAGTCTGGTGCTGGATTCTAGGAGGAGGAGCCTGCGACTGGGAGGGTGATGTTTTCCCTCTTGGTCCCACAGGATCCCAGCTTTTAGCTGGGACCAGAGCCCTAATGCTGTAGACAGGACTGCTGTGGGCAGGCCTGTTGGTTCCTCATTTTAAAGGGAATACTTCTAGGGGCGCCTGGCTGGCTCACTTGGTGGAGTGAACTCTTGATCTCAGGGATGTAAGTTTGAGTCCCAAGTTGGGTGTGAAGATCACTTTAAAAAAATTTTAAGAAATGACAAAATAAAAACCTCTTCTTTAGAAAAAAAAAATAATAAGAACACATCTAATTAAAATCAGAAGAGGGTGTCTGGGTGGCTCAGTGGGTTAAGCCCCTGCATTCAGCTCAGGTCGTGATTTCAGGGTCCTGGGATCGAGTCCCGCATCGGGCTCTCTGCTCAGCAGGGAGCCTGCTTCCTCCTCTCTCTCTCTGCCTCTCTGCCTACTTGTGATCTCTCTCTGTGTGTCAAATAAATAAATAAAATCTTTAAAAAAATAAAATAAAATCAGAAGAAAGTAGCTGAGGAATTTTCTTTTTAATCATAAACAAGTACATTGGGCAGGGTGCCTGGCAGAGCCAGTCGGTGGCGCATGCAACTCCCTGATCTTGGGGTTGTGAGTTCAAGCCACATGTTGGGTGTAGAGATTACTTTAAAAATAAAGCTTAAAAAAGAAAAAGCAAGTACATTGAATTTCAAATTCTTTTTTGCATCAGTTGAGAATTTGTATATTCTTTTTAAGTTTATTAGTCTAGTAAATTATATAGACATTTTGTTTTATTTCTGGAATAAACTCTACTTAAATTATACTTTACATATAAACTTTGATACCATTTTGGACTCAGGTGGTATTGTATTTCAGATTTTTCATCCGTGTTCATAGTGAATTGGACCTAATTTGTTTATTTTTGTGAATTGTTCTTACATATTTTTGGCAAATGGCAGTTGGCATATCAGTTTCATAAGATGAACAGGGCATCTTTTTAATTTCTGGAAGAATTTATGTATGTGGAATTGCAGTTATTGGTAGAACTCTCGTGTACAACCCTCTGGGCCTTGGGCCCTTGGGCAAGGAAGGTTTTGTGCTAGCGTTTGTTTTTTTAGTGACTAAGAGTCTGTTAAGTTTATGAATTTCCTTTTGTGCTAATTTTCTCATTTATGTGTCGCATTACAAGTTGATGTGTTCGTTTAGATGTTGAATTGCTTTACCGTCTGTTTGCTCTTTATTTTTAGTCTCCATTACATGTGTAGTTATTTCCCTGGTGTATTTTTTTAACTGTGTTGACCTTGATTGGTTTTGCCATGAAACTGTCATTTTCGTCTTTCCAAAGAACCAGTGTCTGGTTTTGCTGATCTTCCTTTGCAGTGGGGGATGTGGGTGCCTTTGTTCTCTAATCATTGAATCCTGCCCCACGGATATTTTCTTCCTCCTTATATGGGTTTGCTGTATTGATTTGCCCCCAACTTCTTGAATTTGATATTTACCTCATTTGTGTTTTACCATTTTCATTTCTAGTAAATGTATTTAAAAATGAAAAAATTTATGTGTAAGTAGTACTTAAACTTCATCCCGCAAGTTTGATAGTAAATATAGCTGCCATGTCGTAATTTGTTACTCAGTTTTCAGGTAGCTAATAGTTTCGAGGTACCTGTGCCTACCTTCATATCCAGTTGCATTTTGGTTGGGGCACAGTGTGGTAGTGTCCTTGAATGGGGCCATGACCCCCTTCATAGCTGAAGCACCCCAAGGGTGTTTCTCTGTGGACATCCCCACGTGTACTTGGAGAGAACAGTGTTTCCCGCTGAGCATGGGGTCCCGTGTACACATGAGGCCTTCACCCATGGGCTCCCTGCCTGCCCTCCTCCATCCCCACAGCCGGTTACCTGAGGGAAGCCCTGACCACAGGGTTTACTCAGCCCTTGAATGGGCTGGGAGGATACCACAGCGCTGTCCCCCCCGCCCCAGTGTGGCCCTGGAAGGTGGGTGCCACTGTAGTCTGCTGAGGCCCCTGCAGATTGGCACGAGGACATGAAGCAGGGGCAGCCCAGTGAGGGTCAGACTTCAGCACCTTCTGAATTAAAATCTGTTCATCTGTTGGTTTATTTATTTATTTTTTCTTGTTTCTTGGCCACTCGTACCCCCGGAATGTTTGAGCTCTGAACTGGGGGATAGTCCATCTCCGCTGAGGGAAGTGCTGGCCGTGTCTGACTGCTTTCTCCCTAGGCTAGAGCTGGCCTGCTCTTTGCAGACTCTCTGGTGTCAGATCCCCTGAGGATCCTGGCCCTGCTGTGGACGGGGATGGGCTGAGAATCCAGGCGTCTCACTGTCAAACCTCAGGAGCTGGACCGATCTGGCCAGAGGGGGCCACTGTGTTCAGAACCTTACCCCGATGCTCCCTTCGGAGGCTCTCCCTGTGCTGCAGTAGCCCCCTGCCTCTTTACTCCTGAAACCAAGGGTGCTGGGCCCTGTGCTGTACCCTCAGCCATACTGACACATTCCCTTTCTCTTGTCATCCCCACAGCAGGATTCCTGGTCTTCAAGCCTGAGCTGATCTCCCGGCTGGAGCAGGGGCAGGAGCCATGGGTCCTTGACCTGAAGGGAGTCGAGGGGAGAGAGGGGGCAAGAACCTTCCTTACAGGTGAGGCTCAGGCTTAAGCTTCTGGGGGCAGGTGAGGAGGTGTTCAGAGAACCCATGCCCAGCAAGGGCTGAGAGGGTGGGAAGCTGGAGATGGACCCCAGGGACTGGCCACGCAGGCATGCTGGGATGCCTGTGAACACCATGGGGCCACAAGTGGGCCCACTGACAGAAGCATCACCATCATGGAGTTGCATTGGGAGAGACAACTACAGAAAAGCAGGGACGTGAAATTCTTGCGTGTCACAGCAAAAACGGTTGTTCAGTTTCTAATTTTACTAATGTTCTTATTAAGCAAAGGTATGGATCCATGGGAACCACCAAGTTTGATTCTTAGCAGCTTTTCAGGCGAATGTCAGTTCCCTCCCTCTCACCAACAGCTCCCTCCAGAACTTCTTGGGGCCTCTCAGATCAGGCTTCAGGGCAGTGATAGTGCCCTGGGGCTCCTGGAACAAAGCGCCACAGACTGAGGCCTGAAACCACAGAGATTTCATCGTTTCGCGGTTCTGGAAGCCAGACATCCAAAATCCAGGCATCAGCAGCTTCCTGTCCCCTGTGAAACCCAGAGGGGATGACCCTTCCTAGCTCCTCCAGCCTCTGGTGGCCCCAGGTGTTCTTTGGCTTGTGTCCATGTCACTCCAGGGTCTGCCTCCATCATCACCTGGCCTCCCCGTGTCTTCTTGGAAGGTACCGTCGTACCGGGTTAGGCCTGTACTTTCTTCAGTGCAACCTCATCTTAACTAACACTGTCTCAACAGTCCTGTTTACAATTCAGGTTATATTCTGAGGTCCTGGTTTCGGCGGGGGCACAGTCAGCCCATAACAGGGGCATCTGTCAGCTCACAGTGTTGGCTTCGCTGAGGAGACGACAGTGCCCCCAGCCTTATCTGGCCCTCCCTGGCAGACATGTTGCCTTCGGTTCGGGCACTGTGGCGGCGTGTATCTTCACCACAGAAAGGAGTCCTTGCTCACTGCCGTGTCCCACGGTCACTGCCACAGTGGAGCAGGGCCTGGCACCACGTGCTCTGATCCCTGGCTGGCCGGAAGCAGGTTGGAGCATCAGACTGTGCGCTTCCTGCCTGGGAGGGCCTGGAGTTGTCCTTACAGCAGGTTACCAAGTCTCTGTAAAGCATCGTCACACACTTAGTTGCGTGGAAGGCAGCAGCGGTTGGGCAGCTGTGTTGGGAACCCTGATCCCAGCCCCCAGCATCCTTGGCTCTATAACTGAAGGCCCGGCTTTCCGCTTGAGGCCCCTTTCCTGGGAAGAGGGTAGAGCTGTAGACTAGCCCAGTTAAAACCCAGCCACCATTGAGTATCTCCAAGGTGGAGGGGAGATTTCAAAGGGGTACCATGGCAGAAAAGCTAGCTGGAGCTGGCAGAATGGGGTAGTTCAGGGCTTTATGTGCAGCAAATGGTTTTTAATGGTGACGAGGCAGCAGCAAAGAAAACACCCCCCAAGGAGATAGAAACCTGCTCTTGGGCCTAAGAGCACAGGGCAGGAGCGCGGCCTCGCCGATGGAAGCGTGTGGAGCGCGCTAGACAATGTACGTGCCCAGAGGTGTTACTTGTGCCTGCCTCGTCCAGCAGACAACCGAGGAGTGGCCCAGAGTGGTAGCAGGGTGCAGAGCTGCACACCTGTCCCCAGCCTGCAGGGACACACACACACCTGTTCTCTGAGGGAAAACCACTTCTGAAGAGAGGGAGCATATGCAAGGAAGTCCCTGAGGCTGGTGCTGGGGCCTGCTGTGTGGGGGAGGCTTCTCAGACTCGGTTCTAGGGAACCAGATGGGGGCCGACACCCGCGAGGTCCATGGCTTTGAGGCTGCTTAGCCACATGGGGTTATCCTTTTTCCTCTTGTGAGCAGGAGGTCCCAGTCCCACTACTAGAGACATCACCATGTTCTTCCCTGGTGTCCGTAGAGGCCTCTGCTTTCCAGCAGGAGGCAGCGGAGAGCGGTACTTGTCTATCTGCTCATCTCCCCGTCAGGGAGGCCTGGGCAGAGGGTGGAATGGGCCAGCACCCCAGGGCCAGTCCTGCCTTGTGGAAGGGTGTGTGGTTGTGCATCGAGGACCAGGCAGGGGATGCCCCGTTTCATAAGGACACAGAGAGGTCAAAAGGGCAGGTGTTGGGGGAACAGCTGGGTCCATTCCCAATGGTCTCATGAGCTGTGTGACTGAGGAACCCCAGAGTCCTTACTGTGGGGTGGTGATTCCCTGCTGCTGACCTCACTGGGTCGTCATGAAGACTCATCAAGAAACGGCAGAACTAAGTGTTCCTTAGCCACCGAAGATGGTCTGTGTGGGATGGCCTTTGGCTCACCTGGGCCCGCCCACGAACTGCGGATCCCTGGAGCTGGAGAGGGTGCTGTTGTTAGGAACCACCAAGAGCCCTAGAACTGGGCCCTGGAGGATTTTGCTGTGGGGTAGTAATGAGCTGCTCGTAACTGGTTGTCACACTGGTTACGAAGTTGGTTGTGATGCGAGTTATGACCCTGGGCGTGATCACGGACACCACGGAGGTGTCTGACATGGCCAAGGTGCTCTCTAGGACTACAGAGTAGGAGACAGCCTGACATGTACTTGGAGAGTCCAAAAGGAAGGTGGATGGATGTTGGGAAGCCTCATGGGGGGCAGGCCGGGGTAGCTGGAGCCTCCAGAACCCCAAGGGAACAAGAAAGCAGTAGGACCCCTGGGTGTGGCCTCCTGTAAGCCGAGGGCCACAAGCAGTGGTTGTGCACGGCAGGGCTGCATCAGGGTGGCTTGGCAGCGGCTGGAGAAAACAGAAGTCAGGCCTGGGGTCCCACTCAGAGCCCCAGCCGCTCCTCAGGCTCACCCCTGCTCTGCCCTCAGCAGCCGTCCGGCCTTCTTTTCCTCCAAGCCTGCCTGGCCCCCAACTCAAAGTCTTCAAACCCTCTTGCCCTTACTCCGCCTCCTCTGGGTCCGGGAGCCTCTGGCCACACTTGCCGGGCCGTCCGGCTCACTGTGTCTTTATGGATTTTCACTCATCCCAGTTCCCCACAGGACGGCCCTCTCCTCACATCCTCACACGCAGGAGTGCACAGTTGTTGAATGAATGCATAAAGCAAAAGTATTAATGAAACCAAATTTTGAAAACCGTCAAAGGCATGACTTCTGGTAGTGTTTCTCCACGTGGGTGTGTCCTTGCTTGATGGGGCCCATCCTGGCAGGGAGTGCGTGTGGTTCCCAGGGATGGTGTGCAGCCCCTGTCCCCACCCCTGGTGTTTGTCCCGTCTCGAAGCACGGGGTAAGGGGCATTCTTTCCTGTTCCTTTCAGATTCTGCGGTTGGGATTGTGACTGAGCAGGCCTGTGAGGACGTGGATGTTCTAAGATCAGAACCCTGTGTGGCGCTGGTCAGAAGCCCCTCACAGGGTTTTCCTCAGACTTCTAGCTTTAGAGACACCTGTGATTCTGAGGTCTGGTCAGAGACTAAGCCAGGCTCCCTCCTCCAGAAAAAGCGCTTGAACTCAGGGACCGTGGCTACCAGGAAGACCTTCACCAAGGAGGGTGCCCAGGGTTGTGGCGAGCTGGAGAGCAGTGGTGGCCTGGGTGGTCAGCCTGGCAGAAGTCCATGGGGTGCTGCTGAGGGGACATCCCGAAGATGTGACACGTGTGGCACAAGTTTTAGATCTACTTCAGACATTGTTCTGCATCAAGGAATGAATACACAGAAGAAAACTAGTAGATGTCCAGAGTGCAAAAAAAATTTACCCGATTGTTTACAGGGGAGAAATGGAAGTAACTGCCACAGAGAGAAGCCCTATGAGTGTGAGGAATGCGGGAAAGTCTTCAGGTTGTGCTCACAGCTTAATCAGCATCAGAGAATCCACACTGGAGAAAAGCCATTCAAATGCATCGAGTGTGGAAAAGCCTTTCGTCTGAGCTCAAAACTTATTCAGCATCAAAGAATTCATACTGGAGAGAAGCCCTACAGGTGTGAGGAGTGTGGAAAGGCCTTCGGTCAGAGCTCCAGCCTCATCCACCACCAGAGGGTCCACACAGGGGAGAGGCCCTATGGCTGTCGGGAGTGTGGGAAGGCCTTTAGCCAGCAGTCCCAGCTGGTCAGACACCAGAGGACCCATACCGGGGAGAGGCCCTACCAGTGCCAGGAGTGTGGGAAGGCCTTCAGCCAGAGCTCAACACTGGCCCAGCACCAGCGGATGCACGCTGGGGACAAACCCCAACTTCCACGGAGCCCAGATGGTCCCGGCCTCATTGCACATCAGAGAACCCACCCTGCGGAGAAGCCGTTTAAGTGTGACGAGTGTGGGAAGGCCTTCAGGTGGGTGTCTCGCCTTAGTCAGCATCAGCTGACCCACACCGGAGAGAAACCTTACAAATGCAACAAGTGTGCAAAAGCCTTTGGTTGTAGCTCACGACTTATTCGCCATCAGAGAACTCACACTGGAGAAAAACCATTTAAGTGTGAGGAGTGTGGGAAAGGCTTTGTCCAGGGCTCACACCTAATTCAGCACCAGAGAATTCACACTGGAGAGAAGCCCTATGAGTGTAGTGACTGTGGAAAAGCCTTCAGCCAGAGCTCAAGCCTCATTTACCATCAGAGAATCCATAAGGGAGAGAAGCCCTACGAGTGCCTCGAATGTGGAAAAGCTTTCAGTATGAGCACACAGCTCACAATACATCAGAGGGTCCATACTGGGGAGAGACCCTACAAGTGTACTGAATGCGGGAAAGCCTTCAGTCAAAACTCAACCCTTTTCCAGCACCAGATAATCCATGCAGGAGTGAAGCCCTACGGATGCAGTGAGTGTGGGAAAGCCTTCAGCCGGAGCTCCTATCTTATCGAGCACCAGAGGATCCACACCCGGGCCCAGTGGTATCATGAGTATGGGAATACCCTGGAAGCTTCTACCCACGTGAGCCGTAAAAAAGTCAATACTGTAAAGAAACTGCATAAATGTAATGAATGTGAGAAAATATTCAGGTGGCGCTCACATCTCATTATACATCAGAGAATTCACACCGGAGAGAAACCTTACAAATGTAACGTTTGTGGCAAAGCTTTTAATCGGAGCTCAAGGCTTACTCAGCATCAGAAAATTCACATGGGGTAGACCTCTTACCTTTATAAATGTGTATAAGTGTGAATAAACCTACAGCCTTAACTTTACGTATTTTATATGGGATCATTTATACTAAGAATTTAGAATGTGGGGAGAGAGTCCAGATTCCTCACTTAGGAAAGAAAATGTCCAAATTCCTATAAAGTGGATGTTCCTTTGCTGGAATGTGTGACCTTAGCCCGCTCAGCAAAGCCTGTGTCCCTCGAGTCAGGGTGCACATGTGTAGGGTTTTGAATTCACAGAGGGAAGACCCTCGGTCCTGTGGATGAGAAAGATCATGGGAAAAGGCCTGTGAGCATCGCCACACAGCTTAGAAGTTACCCAAAGTGTCTCCCCTGAGCACTGGCCCCTCAGACTGCCTTCAGCAATCAGGATGTGTTCGTTTGTGCTCATGGAAGCCCAGAGCGAGGGGCCTAGAACTCCCTTCTCTTGCCTTCTTCACCTGACTCCTTCCAAGTCAGCCCCACCAGAGCAAGCTGGGGATACGCCAGAGGGCCCCGGGGACCAGGCTCTGCAGAGAGGAGCTCGGATCAGCACAGGACTCCAGGAACCAAGCCCAGGTTGTGATTGTGGGACCTATTCTGCAACTCTGGGATGTCATCGTCCTTGAAATCCAGAGTCTCTCTGCTTGCCAGCATCACTACAGGGTGATCGGAAGAACTGAACTGTGAGAGCTCTCCCCCCCCTCAACCCAACTCTGAGACCCCCGAGCCAGCGTCTCTAGCCAAACCCAGTGCAGACCTGGCCTCAGCAGGAAGAGCTCATGGGAGCCCAGTGGATGCCCTCCAGAGGCCAGGATGTGACCCTTCCTGCTGCTTCCCAGACTTCCTCAGACTTGGTCCTGCTGTACAAACTGCCAGAACTGGGAGGGTCTGTAAGCAGACAGGTGGGCCTGTTGCCTTTTCCCAGAGGCTGGTGGAGATGGAGACAGACTGCTGCCAGCAGCATGAGACTGAGGACGGTATGGATCGTGGCCCTGCCCTAGGGTCCTGGAGTCACCAACTGTGACAGCGTTTGAGGGGACCAGAGGTTTTACTCAGACCGACTACTACCTGCTGCCGCTCACGCAGGACCTGTCGGTATTGCTGTCACTGCCAGTTACCACTTAGACAAGACATGGGCCAAAGAGCCCTCCTCCCTGTCCTGGTGGAGAGGCCCATGTGTCCCACATACAGTTTGGGATGGTCAGGTCCATGTGGGTTTCTGTTCTAGCACACGGACCGGGATCTCAGCCCAATCACCAGCCACCGCTGGTTAGCCAAGCACAAAGTCCGGTGTGCCGTCCGGCTGCAGTACTAGTTCTCGGGGTGAAGATTGTGCCCCCAGACTGTACCTGCACCTTTGGAGGTGTCCCCTCTCCAGGTGCCAGGGCACGATGAAACCACTGTGCCCATTTCAGTAGCTGTAACCGCCTCTGCAGCTGTCCCTGCTCCACCCAGAACTTGGGTCCAGAAAGGTCAGTGCGAGAGGACCAGGGACTGTGGCCCCACATGGCTTAGGAAGGCAGGTTGGCCACTGACTGTGCTGTCCCCCGACAGGAATCCTCTCTAGGCCACTTCCTGGGAAGTGATAGGACAAGAGGGGTGGGAGGTTACATGAAGGCTTCCAAATTCCAACCTGGGCACGATGCTGTCCTCTACCAGCAGCTCCAGGCCAGCCAAAAAGGGCCAGAAGCTTCCACGTAAGTCACCCAGGCCCCTGGATTTTCTCTTTGGATTGACCTGGTCCTAGATCAGGGCCTGGAACATGGAGGCTATTAGACTGGGTCGCTCTCATTCCTTGGGAGCTCCACAGGCTGACCAAAACGTAGGCCAGAGTCGATTCCTGTAAGTGCACTCATCTGGGAGGACGGAGTTTAAGAACGGCCCGTCACAGCCAGGAGCAGTCTCCTTTGTGAGACTCTCCCCGTCTCCTGCTGGCACGACACTCACTGTTAGGTGGGCACTGCCTGGTTCCAGCCCACGTTTGTGCAAATAAACTCTTTAACACTTTGATGTACCTCACTTTACCTCTTTAAAGGCTTAAAAGCTAAGAAGGGTTTTTACATTTTTAAGTGGGGGAAAAAAAAGACTATTTTGTGACATTTCAAAGTTCTGTTGAAATGAGATTTCAGTGTGACCAAATAAAGTTTATTGGAACAGAGCTGGCCACTCTTGTGCGACGCGAGCAAAGTTCTCACTTGCTGGCCTTGTCCCCTTGGGTAGGAACTCCATGCCCTCCGTCCTTAGAGGAGTCATTTTTTCTCTCAATTCTGAGTGTGATTTGTTCACCGAAATGTCCCAATACAACCGAGAATTCCGTAGAAATAACCCCTGGAGGCTCAGACTCCAGTCCAGAGCCTCCATCGCAGAGGTCAGGGGGAGGAGCCCTTTCTTAGCCGCACCAGGCAAACGAGAAGCGTGACGCTGGCCTGCTCAGCAGCTCTGAACTCCGGCTGTGTCTGTGCACATCCCGCACGCCAGCGGCTCTGCAGAGGGAGGGCAGGAGGACCACCTGTCGGGAGTGCGAGCTTTGGGATCGTGCGTCCTACTTTCAAGGTGTATTTCCCACTTTGGGCGTCAGTGACTATAATGAGTATTTTTTAAGACTATCCAGAACTCTGTTTCAGAGCAGGTGTTACCTTGGATTTCTCTGTTGGAGACCATAAACCCATAATTTTGACCTGAAACTGCTTTTTACTCAGTTACCAGATTAAGCTTTGATGTGGGACATTGGATTGGAACCACGGAGCTTCCTAGAAGCTTCACAAAGGGGTGGGGAGTGCAGAGCCCAGGTGAGTTCACGCAGTGTGTGGGGCTCGCACTCAGAGCCCAGGAAATGTTTGTCTCAACGTCCTGACCTCGAGCATGGGGATGCTCCCCAGGGCAGTATTCACTTGTTCAGCACTCGGGGAAGAGCGGAGGCCCGCTGGCATCAGGAATTCCCACAGAGGGGAGGGGCATCTGGCGAGCTCCTGACAGTGGAGCGTGTGACTTGATCTCGGGGTTGTCACTTTGAGCCCCACATTGAGTGTAGAGATTTTTTTTTTTTAAAGTTTCCACAGAGATCTGAAAAAGATCCAGAAAATGGACAAGGTGGAAAAGGGTAATCTTGCAAGTGTGAACGTCCATTCTCTGTACAAGGCCTTGTGCGGGCCTGGGAACAAAGATGGACCTCGGGTCCGGTCAGTGGTAGGGCTGACCACTGATGAGGGTGCACAGCTGCTCGGGGCACACGGGGTCCACACACCCCAGCCTGGCAAGAGCTGGGCTGAGGCAAGTGGAGCAGAGCCACCACCCACCACCTGGTTTTTGTAGGCCCCAGAGGGGAAGATGGTCTTTAAATGGCTGAAAACAAGATGATTTTGTGACACGTGAAATTAAAGTTTCGACACTACTACAAAATTTTTATCGAACACGATTGTGCCCATTGATGTATGTCGCGTCTGCCTGCTCTCAAGCAGAAGTGGCCGAGCGGGCAGAATCCTCGTGACCTGGGAAGCTGGCACCGTCGCTCCCGGCCATCTCCTGCCACGGCAGCAGGGGGGTGGAGGGTAGCGCTGCCCTGCAGCTGCGGTGGGAGGGACGGTGAGCCCATGGCCACCATGTACAGTCTATCGACGGAGGACGATACTCCGCCCCCAGCACTCCTGACTGAAAGCGGCACAGACCAAGCCTTCTGGTGGGGGCTGGAAGGCGGCAGAGCCCTAAACCCATCCTTCCGCGTGTCTGGAACCCGGCGGGAGCAGAGGGCCATCCCAGACCCTCCGGGGCCTGCGGAGTGGACACAGCCAACAGTGTGGAGACAGACTGCTGGCCACCCCAGCCAGGTGCACAGGGACAAGGGGGAGCGCGCCTCAGTGCCCTTTGGGCAGGGAAAGGGAGTGCTGACTCGGTGCTTGTCCACTGGGCAACTCCTGGAACCCCAAGCCTCCATCAGCCCGTTTCAGCGTGGAAACATGCCTTCTCCCCGGAAGCGCTGCCAGGGGGCTTTAGGTGGGCTCCAGGGGAGAGCTCTGTCCTCTGAGGGCCTCTTGGGAAGGGGCTGTGTGTTCTCCCCAATGCCAGCAGTGGGGTGGCCTGGAAAGCGCCTCTCCTCTCTACTCATACAATTTAAAACCACTGAGGCCCAGCTACGTGGCCCTTTGGTGGCAGCAGAGCTCGGGGCGCCCTGCGCCTCGGGGCGTGTAAGCCTGGCTCAGACCCTTGGTCCCCATCCCCGCTTGAACCAGCCAAATCCCAGCTGCCCTGCACAGCAGAAGCCCTCAGTGGCTCTCAACCCAAACCGTGTGTCCATGAGCAAGCCCCCAGGTGAGGCTCGCTGCCCCTCCAGCCGGCCGGCACGGTCACTCTCCCCGCCCGCAGTCAAAGCACAGGACACTGCCGGGGGAAGCCCCATCCAGGTCGGGAGGGAAGGCTGACCACGCCAGCTCCCCCATCAGCTGCTGGACGCTGGACAGGCCTCTGACCGCTCTGTCGCCTGTGCAGTGGGGAAACGTCCACCTGCAGGGAGCGACCACGGGTGCAGTGCTTGGACTGGAGCTCAGCACCCGTCCGTTCCGCCCGGAAACGCCGTGTGCTCGCAGCTGCCTCCCCAGGGACTGGCCTGTGGAGACACGTGTACAGACGGTGTACTTCGGGTCAGCTTGACAGTATCAAGAGCTTTAAAATGTTCACATTCTGCGTCCTCTGTTCCCACTTCTAAACAGTTTCAGTACATGAAATGGTTTTACCACTAACGTCACTGTGATTTTTAATAGAAAAAAAAAAAAACAGAAAGCTGCTACACTCCGTGTCCCTCCCTCACCTCCAAAATCTCAACGTCGAAACCTTGACACCCAGTGTAATGTATGAGGAGCTGGGGCCTTGGGGAGGAAACTCGGCGTGGGTTCAGAGTCCCCAGAGAACTCCCGACCCCTGGAACCTTGTGAGGGCACGGGGAGAGGCCTGCAGCTGGCCAGGCCAGCCTGCGGTGCTCGGTTTGCTGTGTCTGAGGCGACACCGCGCGCCTGCCCAGGGGACGGCATGTTCCGCAGCCACGAGCCAGAGCTGCCACACTCAGGACTTCAGTGAACAGAGCTACCACACGCAGACGCAGCGTCCATCGGTCTCCGTGGCTGTCTGTGGGCAAAAGGACTTTAAGATTCTTTTTTAAGTTTGTTTTTACTTTTTTTCCCAAATGTATCCTGAGCATGTACTCCCTGAACACATGTAACAGTCACGACAGACACACCTTGCACGGAAGGCCTCCATCACTGGGCGGGGGGACACGGCACTCAGCATGTGCGAGGGCCAAGCGGCAGCTGGACAGCCCCGTCCACTCCCGGCCTCGGGGCAGCAGGGCCCCGCTGGCCGCTGATGCTGCAGGTGACGGTCTGCACCCCTCAGTGGAGCCTGGCCCAGGCCCCACCTGGGGGCTCTACCGGGGATCGGCCTCTGCAACCCTACCTCCCCGTGGGCAGCACCACCCGCCACGTCCTCCATGCCCACCCTGCCGTGACCTGCACTCGGAGGGAGAAGAATTGCCGGAGAGGCTGGGGGAGCCGTGCCCTGCATGGGGCCGGCAGGGAGCAGGGCAGGGCTCGTGAGTTGTTTCTCAGGGAAGCTCCCGCACGCTGCTCAGGCCGGTTTACCGGAGACCTGTGGGCAGGCCGCCTGACAGAGCACCGACGGCGGAGGCGGGAGCACTGCCAGGGGCACAGACCGAAGCAAATGTCTGCAAACACCGGGGCCCCAAGTCCCCTACGTGGGGCCGGCTGTGCTGGGAGCTACAGAGTGGCCGCAGACCCTGAACTCCCACCCTGGGGGCAGCCAGCGGAGACCCCGCTCCCCTCCACCCTGCACACTCTCACTGCCAAGGACTGAACGGTGTCCCCCACCAAGTTCATGTTGAAGCCCTAACCCCCGGTGTGACTGTTTATGGGGCCTTCGGGACGATTAAGCTTAAGTGAAGTCGTCGGTGGGGGGCTCCGACCCGACGACAGGACTGGTGTCTGGAATGAGAGGAAGAGAGAGCTCTCCTCTCCCACACATGCTCGTGGCCGGAGGAAAGGCTGTCTGCAGGCCGCTCACCAGGACCCGATTCTGCTGGGACCTGGCCTCACACTTCCAGCCTCCAGAACTGTGAGGACACAGAGTTCCACTGTTTAAGCCACTTACTCTAGGATGTCATAGCAGCCCGAGCTGCCTGAGACACCCACTTAGAGGGTCCCAGGAGCAGCCCCTGCACCCCTTTCCCCAACTCCACCACAACCTGGCAACAGCCTCTCCATCAGGCTCCCAGCCCGAGCCCCTGTGCTCTGCTCCGCTCTCAACTCATCATCCAGTAAGGCCCTTTCAGAGCAACTGTGACTTCACCCCCCCTCCGCTAGAGTTGAGCCCAAGTCCTGAGAGAGGCCTTCGGGGCCTGCCCTCCCCATGCTCTGCTCACCCCCTCACCAGCCACAGCTGCCCAGGTCGTGCACTATGAGATGCTCTCCCTGCCCAGAACCCCCCCTCCTCAGACCACTCTGCTCCCTTCAAATCTTTGCTCATAAACCATCTCCTCCCGGAGGCCCCACCCATGACCCAACTTAGGATGGCAGCCCAGCTCTTCTGGTCCTGGGTCCCTGCTCTATTTCTTTTCTTTCTTTCTTTTTTAAAAAAGATTTTAGGGCATCTGGGAGGCTCAGTGGGTCAAAGCTCTGCCTTCAGCTCAGGTCATGATCTCAGGGTCCTGGGATCGAGCCCCACATTGAGCTCCCTGCTCGGCGGGGAGCCTGCTTCCCCCTCTCTGCCCACTTGTGATCTCTGTCAAATAAATAAATAAAATATTTTTTAAAAAGATTTTATTTATTTGAGAGAAAGAGAAACACAAGAGGGGGGTAGAGGCTCTGAGCAGGGTGCCAGACACAGGGCTCTATCCCAGGACCTGGGAATATGACCTAAGTCCAAGGCAGACCCTTAACTGACCAAGCCACCCAGGTGCCACTCCTTTTCCTTTGTAAGTATTTATTTTAGAGAGAGAAAGAGAGCATGAGTGGGAGGAGGGGTAGAGGGAGAGAATCTCCAGCAGATTCCCTGCTGAGCAAGGAGTCTTGATCCCAGGACCCTGAGATCATGACACGAGCGGAAAATCAAGAGTCAGAGGCTTAATCGACCAAGCCACCCAGGGGCCACCCCTGCTCTCTTTCTGCACCACTGACCCTCCTCTGACAAGCTTTGCCAGTCATTTTGTATTATGCATTTTGTAATGTCTCCCCCTCACCACTACAATGTTAGCTCCATGAGGTCAAGGATGTGAGGCAGGAAAATGAAATGTCCAACTAGAACACAGGGTTGACAAAAGCAAATAAGCAGAGAGCTCAGATGCTACATGAGGCCAGGCCGAGTGACCACCGTGTCCACACAAAGGCCTTGGCCTGGACTCCCGAAGGCAACCACACATGGCCACACTGGAGCAGCAGGCGCCCTCACCCAGCAACAAGACCAACAGCCGGGGTAGGGGAAGGTGCCGCCTGATGCCCACCCAGGAGGACACTAGTTTATAATTGCTTTATTTCCAGGAAAAAAAAGGAAGATCCAGGTTTCTCAACGGAACAGACACTGACATGATTACATTCAAACAGTCACTGAGAAACGGCTCCTGGAAGGGCAGGCTTTGTCTGGGGACACCCGTCAGAGCCAGTTCTCCCCAATGACTGCAATGGGGTCGCAAGCTCGGTCAGGCCTGCAGTTTGAGCTCACACCTCTTCTCCAGGTCAGCCATCTCCTTGAGGACCAGCGCCACGCTGTACCGCAGCTCTTGGAACTTGGCCGTGGGGACCTCAAAGCGGTGTGCCGAGCCGTCTGAAAGCTTCAGCTGCATCAGGACACTCGGCTGTAGGGAGCGTGCCAGGGCACTGGTGGAGATCGCCACGTCCACCCTCCAGCACAAGCGGGAAACATGGGGCAGCCAGGCCCCCTGCTGCCTGGCCACAGAGTTGAGGAGAGGCCGTTGGCTCCCAAACACCACACTGGCCAAGTCTGTAACCAGGTCTTGGGGGATGCAGAGCTCCTGGAGCTGGTCCTGGAAAGCGTCGGGCTTCAGGCTGGCTGGGGGCAGCCGGATGGCCTGCTGGAGCAGTGTGTTTGTGCCGGCGAGGAGGACGCCCAGCCGTTCTTCTGACAGGTCTGCACTAGCCCTGAGGCGCTGCACAGCCTCCCGGCAGTCCTCTCCCTGCAGACTGCTGACCACCAGCTTCAGCAACTTTCTGAATGTGCCCCTGTCCAGGTCTCCCAGGAGCCGGGGCATTGCGGCCACTTCTGGGGGGAGCTGGGTCCCCAGGAAACTCACCCGGCCACTGTGACTATCGGCAGGATAATGCAGGTATGGGGCTGCAGTCCCCACGGCAGACATGGCTGCTTCCTCCTCTTTGATCAGGCAGCCCAGAGGAAAGGTCCCAGCGGCAACTGCCAGGGCGGGGGAGAAGAGAAGTCCTGTAACTCCCATGTGCTCTAGGCCAGAAAATGAGGGCTAACATGGCCTCTGCCTTCAAGGTGCTGACAGCATGAATCTCCTACAACACCTAATGTCATGGGAGGTGCTCTGAGAGCAGGTGGCAAACGGGCCCACTTTAATCCCAGAGAAGAGAGGAGCCAGGAGGTGGCAGCGAAGGGAGACAGGGTGGGGAGGGAAAGAGAACCAGAAACCAGAAGAGGAGAAATAAGTTCTCCAAACACCTAATGGAGAAAAGAGTGAAGGAGAAGAAAAGTCCAGGGAACCCAGGGACGTAACAGCCACTGCTGCTGTCACCAACCACACTAAGATCACTCCACTTGGAATCATGACAATGGCTTTGCAGGAGCCAATAAGGAAACTGAGGCTCAAACCCAACCGCCCAAGGACCAGAACCCAGGCCTGTCTATCAGAAGTCCCGCTGTCTGCACAGCGCAGGAGAAACCAGACACAGACGGGCAGCAGGAGGGCACGCGACAACAGAGGCACCTGCGGTGTCTGGAGGGAAGGTCTGTGTCAGTACCTGAAATGACAGTATGATGTCTTGGCGCGTGTCGGGTGACCGAGCCACGCACCTGCTTACACAGAAGAGGCGGGCTCGTCCGCTCCGAGCGCTGGACAGAGCTCGGCAGACACAGATCCTGTCCCCACGGCGCCCACCAGGCCCAGGGTCCTCACCATACAGCGAAGCGCGGGTGACCGGGGGACACAGGGAGGCCTCGACTGGCTTCACCGTACCGTATCCTCCCGGGAAGGCCGGGGCCCCCTCGCCCTGCGTCAACGACCACGCAATGCCCAAACTTGGGTTCTCCGCAGCTGCCCGGCCCCTACAAGGAACGGCCTTCCACTGCCTGCTCCCGGGAGGCTGCATGCTACCCCGCGCAGACGCTCTCCTGGCCACCGGCCCGAGGAAGGAGCTGACAGAGACCGGCCGGGCTGGAGCTGCGCCCCGTGCTCGCCGGAGGGACCCCGGCCACCTGCCGCACGGCCGAGCGGCCGCCCACCACCCGCGGACCGCGCCCCAAGCTGCCCCGGATCGGCTTCCAGAACTTCCCGGATAGAGCGGCCGAGGAGCTAAGGAGCGGTCTGCGGCCTCCGCCCCGAAAGAGCGACCCCAACCCCGCACCCCAAAGCCCGAGACGCCCCCGCACCTGCAGAGCTCAGACTGCAGCTGAGCCGCCAAGCGAAGCCCACCAGCGCGGCCAGACCGGAGCCGGGCAGATTCCCGGAAGCGACCCCGAGACACTTCCGGCCGCTCTAGGACGCCGGGAGGACCGGGCCCTCTGTGATCCGGCCACGTGAGTCAGGCCCACGGCGCCTGTTGTGAGGGGGTGAAGCGGCCTGGTCGGCGGGTGCGCCAGCCGCAGTCGCCCGCGGGGACTTCAAAGGCCGCTCAGGGAGCGACGGGCGCTGGGCTCCGCTGGTGTCCGGGGCGGGGGAGGGGGGCGGACCCTGACCCACCGGGGCGGACCGGGAGGGCCCAGGAGCGGAGGGCCCGCACCCCGCGCGGCTGCGCACCTGCGGGCGCCAGAGCTCCCGGTGGCACATCCGAAGGCCGGGCCGTGCGGCGTCCGGGCTCCGCGGTCGCGAGTTGGCGCGGGGAGGGCGGAACCCCGTCGGCACGGGACCACGCCTCGGGGAGCACGTGGCCGGCGGGCGGACGCGGGCCGGGGCCGCTGCCCAGCGTCGGAAGCGAGACAAGCAAGAGGACGCGGCGTGGACCGACCGCGGTCGTGCGCGGAGACCCTGGTCCCAGCGAGACGGCCTCAGCGGTGGGGCCTTCGGGCGGGCGCTGAGCCGTGAGGCTGGGGCCCCGACAGCGGGGTTCGCGCCTTCAGGAAGCGGACGGGGGACCGGGAGAAGCGGGCGGTCGACAGCCCGGGCCGGGGCTTCGGCCGAGCCGCCGAGCGGGCGCTGTCGGCTCGGGCTTCCCGCCTCCAGGACCCGGAGAAGAGCAAGGGATGGCGCCACGAGGCCAGCAGGGGACGCGCTTGACCCCCTCGGAGTCCGGCCCGCGTACCCGGAATTCCCGCCCGCCGAAAGTAGAGGCCTCTCCCCCTCTTCCCACGCCCCCGCAGCCCAGCCAATGAGAAGCCGCTATACTTCCAGCCCCCAGTTTAGTCCAATGGGCTCTCCGTTTACAACAGCCCCGCCTAGCTGGGCAGCCCAGCCCGTCTGCGCGGTGCGGTTGGCGTCCAGAGCTGCTGCTCTCTGTGCTCGCGGGGAAAACGGGTTTTGCCGGAAAAATGAGGGGCGGCCTCGTTTACTGCGGCCGCTAGCGAGAGTGCGGGCCGGGTCACCGCGCGGCGGGCTGAGTGGTCCGCGGTCGGCTTCCCGGCTGCCGCGGGGCCGGACGGCCGAGACCCCTGGGTCGGCAGTGCTGGCGGGTCCTCGGTCTGCGGCTGCCGTGCCGGAGCCGAGGGTTTCGTGCTGCGGAAAGTGCGCGATCTTAGTCTCCTGCGCGGCTGTCGTGGTCTCGTCAAGTCCCCGAGAAGATTTCGGAGTCCCGGGCCGGTGCTTGCGGCCTCCGCGCCGGTGGGGGTCGGGACGCCCCGCTGAGCGGGTTCTCTTCCCCGACGGCGCGCGACAGCTTCGGGGTCTCTGTGGAGGCGTCACAGTCGTTCCCTGGTTTTACGGGGCCGGTGAGTCGGTTTCGCCGCCACAGCCACGTGCTGACGTGCGACCGACACTGAAGCGGCGCCTGTGTCGGATGCGTTTGGGGCACAGACCGTCCCACCCCCCTCCTCTGTGTCTGCGGGCGCGCGTGCGGGCCGTGCGGGCTCGGCAGGCTCCGCGCTCGGGGCGGGTTTCGGTGGACGAGTTGGCGTCGCCGGCCCGCGCTCCTGCCGCCCGCGTCCCCCTCCCCCGCCCCGGCGACCGTAGTGCTCGCCTCCGTCAGTGCAGGTCTGGCCGTTGTAGACCCACAGGGAAGGGAGACGACACGGAACTTGTCTTTCATCTCACTCCGGTTCATCTCACTCCGCTTCGTGTCCTCCAGGTTCGGCCGTGGTCGCAAACGGCGGATTTCCTGGTCTGTAGCGGAGTCACGTTCCCTCCCGTCCGCGCACGCGCAAGAGCAGGTACGCGTACCACGTGCGGTCTGTGTACAGAACGTGGGTGCGCACGTTCCACTTTCTCCGCTTGCTTGACTGTTTTCGTATCTTGGCTATTGTGAACAGCGCTACGTGGACATGGCACTGCTGAAATTTCTTGGAGATCCTGTTTTCAGTTCTGTTGGGTAGATACCCAAAAGTGGGCCTTTTACTTTTTTGAGGAGTCTTTATGTGTTTTCCATAATGGCTGTAGCAGTTGACATTCCCACCAGCAGCACTCCAGGGTTTTCTTTTCTCCACACCCTTGCCAACACTTGTTAGGCTTTTTTTTTTTTTTTTAGGATTTTATTTATTTATTTGATAGACGAGATTACAAGTAGGCAGAGAGGCAGGCAGAGAGAGGAGGAAGCAGGCTCCCCGCGGAGCAGAGAGCCCCACGTGGGGCTCGATCCCAGGACCCTGGGATCATGACCCGAGCCAAAGGCAGAGGCTTTAACCCACTGAGCCCCCAGGCGCCCCTGTTTTTAGTTAGCTTTTAGTTTGTTGTAGTCCCACTGGTTTATTTTTGCTTCCCTTGCTTATGCTTTTGGTGTCCCATACAAACACTCATTAATGTCAAGGAGTTTTACTCCTGTTTACTTTTAGGAGTTTTATGGTTTTAGGGCATATGTTTAAATATTTAATCCATTTGAGTTGATTATTACATATGGTGTAAGATAAGGGTCCAATTTCATTCTTTGGCATGTGGACAACCAGTTTCCCAATGTGAAATAATAAGAAACACATATGTATGTCTCTGTCCCAAGTTCCCACTAATATTTAGTCTTTGACTTCACTTCAGCACCAAGCTTCTAAATGCCTTATAATTTCCAAAGTGATAGGAGTGTCTGAGTGATGGTGTCCAAAGTGATAGGCGTTTAAGGAGTGACCTTTAAAATGCTTGCAATTCCCTTGGTGACAGGAGTGTCTTTTTTTAAAGATTTATTTATTTATTTATTTATGTGTATGAGAGAGAGAGAGAGAGTGTGAGCTTGCATGTGAGTTGGGGGAGGTACAGAGGGAGAGAGTCCTCAAGCAGACTCCTTGCTGAGTGTGGATCCCAGCCCGGGGCTCCATCTCATGACCCTGAGATCATGACCTGAGCCCAAACCAAGAGCGGGACATTCAACTAACTGAGCCACCAGGCACTGTGTGGATGTCTTTTGTTCTAATGTGGTGACTCTCCATGTGCTCTTGAGTGGTCTGAATAGACGCTTGGAATGTTCAGTCCTACTCCCTTGTCCTCCAGAGAGGGGAGAGAAAATGGGAAATAAGTTAAGCATTGATCATGCCCATGCGATGAAGCCTCCATAAAAATCCCCAAAATATGGGGTTCAGTGAACTCCAGGGTTGGTGAGCACTTGGAGATGCGGGGAGAGTCACACCTTCAAGGGCATAGAGGACCCCATCATCCTGTGCGTCCCTTCCGTCTGGCTGTTCCCCATGAGACTTTTCTTAATAAACCGGTAACCTAGTAAGCCAAGTGTTCTCCTCAGCTCTGTCGGCCACTCTAGCAAATGGTCAAACCTGAGGACAGCCATGGAGCCTTTGACTTACGACCAGTTACTCAGAAGCACAGGTGACAGCCTGATCTTGGCAATTGGACTCTGAAGTGGAACTGAGTCCTTCCCTTGGGGAGCTGCCTCGACTTTCCCAGTCTGCCCGCTGTGTTTACATGGGGCTGGCATGGCCATCATTATCCACAAGGCAGGTAATCATTACCCGCAAGGCTGCCCTCCTTGCCCTTCTCCGACACACCATCCTTATGTGACTTCCCAATTACTGCCCCTGACTTAGGGCTTTCAGACTGAAGACAAAAGGGAAGCAAGAATTTCATGAGTCAGCATTTTCACTAGCAACTTCCTGAACCCATGAGCTCTTCCTTTTTCCCCAAATAGGCAACGGATACCTTGCTTGGCAACTGTGGTGGCCAAGACAATGTTCCTAACACACTTGCAATTACAGGGACCTCATTAATTAAGGGCTCCGTGGTTGAGCTCTGAATCTTATTAACATGTTTGTGCTGAGGCCACACCTCCCAGGGCTGGTCCCTACCAGCTACCAAGCATGGGAGGGACACTAAGGCAGACCCATTCCTGGAATACACAGGATCCCAAGGTGGCAGACCTGGTCTCAGTAAGTTTGCGTAGATGGCACAAGCCTGGGATGATTCCACCCAAAGTTCTCCTCTGTTTGGGTCAGACTTGAATTGTGGCCAGATAGCTCTCCCCATCTTCCCTGACTCCCTTTCTCTTATGCCAGTTCTTTCCCTAATAAAACTTTTGCATATATAATCCTGTCTTGGTGTCTGCTTCTCGAAGTACCCAGACTAACACAAATGACCTGTGCGTGGGTGATCGAGAGCACGTCTGGGGCTGTTTTGCCCACTGTCTGGCTGGTGAGGATGACTGTCCTGGTTAATAGGTGGTCTCTGGCACGAAGTGGTGACTCGGTTGCTAAGATGTCACCTGACCCAGTGGGAGGAAATGCCACCAGAAGTGCAATGACACAGGCATTTGGAAAACATGGGGGAGAATGAGAGAATGACAGAGTCCTGAGATTTTGGAGCATGGCTGTGCCCTCTGCAGAAGAGAATTATTTGCCATTTGAGAAACAGGTCTTGGCATATTCCTGGACCCTGGTAGGGGAAAAAACGCTGATTATGGGAGATCAAGTGGCTATGTGTCCTTATACTCCTCCCACTACAAGGCGAGGTCTATATGGCCTGCAAAGGCATAGTGTTAGGGAGGCCCAGCAGCGATCCATTATAAAGTGGAAATGGTACGTCCAGGGTGATGCCCCAATACGGCCAGGGGACACAAGTAGCTTGAGTGAGCAGTTAGCCCAGCCTCCCATGTGCGCACCCCCCACCCCAGCTCACATCCATGACCATACGGTGGTTTCTGCATGACCATGACCAGCCAAAGGAGGAAGGAGGGCGCTGACTTGCTTTCTAAGTGGATCAGCTCATTACCTGGGTACCTGTCAAAAACGGGAGGCAGCAGCTGCATTATAGCCACACACAAGCGTGGCCTTGAAAGCCAAGGGGAGGGAAGATCCCCAAGGGCCGGAGCTGCCAGCTGGGCACCTGCTCATCCACCCCGTGCTGAGACACAAGTGGCTTGTGGTGAGAATATACAGATTCCTGGGCAGTGCCAGGGTCTTGGCTGCCCGATTGGGGCCCAGAAGTAAGAGAGAGCTTGGGAACAAAGAGGTCTGGAGTAGAGGACATGGGAGTGGGCATGGAATGTGCAGGTTTTTGTATTAGAGCTGAACCAGAAAGCGTCCACCACAGAAGAGGCACCAAACAACCTAGATGTCAAAAGAACTTGGGACATTAGTCAGCCTTCATACTCAGCCACTTGGAGCCAACAAAGTGGGTTCCTGAAAGTGCCTGTGGTAACAGAAATGGCTCTCCACGGGCTGCAGCATGACCCTGCCCCTGGGGGCGGGGCCTGTCTAGCAGCTGCCCCTTCTGACTGTCCAGTGTGTGGGAACAAAGCTGACTACACCAGGAATGCTGCTTCTACCCTGGAAAGGCCAGCAGTTTGTTCTCACAGAGACGGAGACCAGCTCTAGGCATGACTTCGCCTGACCTGCCCACCCTCAGCCAGTACACCTGGGGCCCGCAGACTGCTTCACACACAGGCTTGGAATCTCGCCTGGTGTGAGGTCCACATAGGGGACCCACTTTACAGTGACAGAGTGTGAGACCCAGCGGTTGTGTCCTGTAGCATATTACCCAGAGGCAACTGGCCTCACAGAATACTGGACTGGCCTTCCGAGAGGTCAGCTGAGGCACAAGTTTGGAGAAAACACCATCCTTTGGGACACGTGCATTAAATCATACTTTGTGCTTATAACATAAAGATCACATGGGTCTGGGGATCTAAGGGCTGAAGCAGTAGTGGACCTACTCAGTATAACTCCCCACTATCCGCTGTGGGTTTGTACTTCAGAGGCCCACGGTTCTGGACTTTGCAGAATTGGATGTCCTGGTCTCCAAGAGGATGCAGCAAGGGTCCCCCTGAACAAGCTCTTGCCGCTGCCAGGATTGATTGGCAGGAGTCACTGGATCATGACTCAGTCACCAGGAGGCTGGCCTACAGTTATATGAGGGAGGCAGGGAGGAGTGCGTCCAGACCCAGATTGTCTATCTTGGCCTCTCCTGGTTCTCCCGTGTGCCACAGTATCCGTAAACAAACACAATGGCAGCTCAGTTAAGAAGGGTAGAAGTGTAGGGAGCTCAGACCCTTCTGAATGAAGGTTTGCATCACAACACAGGGTGAGACAAGACCTACCATGTTGAGAACAGAGGGTGGGGGTACTTGACAGTGGATAATGGAGAGGAGAGTGAGAACTTTTTGCCCTGAGATCAACTTCAGTGCTGGGAGTCTGTTCATCCCACTGACCTTCTGAGTTTCATCTCAGGAAGAAAGACCACAGGAGAGCATGGATATCTGAACTATAGTTACACTACAGAGTGCAAGGGGTGGACTGTGGTGGTCATGAGAATGCACCTTACAGACCTCCCACTATAGGAGATGGAGCTCAGGTCAAAAAACTCATTGCTTAGTTTGCCAAGTCAGTGCTAAGGCTAACCCTCCCACAGGCTACTCCCTGCCGACAACTGAGTACAGCAGGAAAAACAGGCACTGTCTGGGGGTGCCTGGGACTCCTTTGACAGCTGGCTTTAGTTCAAGGACTCCCCGACAGCTTTGCTGAACCTGCCTTAGACTGCTTGGCAGTCTGGAATGCTTCCACCCAACCTTCTCTTCTTCACTCTGGGTCAAATCTGCATTGTCCTGATTCCCTCAGTGTTTTCTCTTACACAGACATTTCTCCTAGGACTATCCTTGCATGTTTATTCTCATCTCGGCATCTGCTTCCTGGAGCCCCTTGACTAACACAGAAATCTGTTTTCCTATCATCCTTTACCCCCAACCACTTGGATGGAAGCCGTTTCATTCTTCTCAACTGACTTTCTCAGTTAGTGCCCTACATGCACCTGATGCTGACAGGACTCTTTTGACAACACTCAGGGCCCCTTTTCTCTTGGGCTTCCCTGAAATCCTAAGCCCACTTTTCCCTGGGCTAACATTTATCATATTGCCTAGAGTGTCTTTCTGATGGCCTGCCAGTTACTTCTGTGGGGCATAGGGCTGCCACTTCCATCCTTCCTGGCTTGCTATTGGGAGCCGCCAACCTGTGTTTGGATCCTATGTTAGAATGTTCACATTGTGGGGTGCCTGGGTGGCTCAGTCGCTTAAGTGTCTGACTTTTGGTGTTGGCTCAGGCCCTGATCTCAGGGTCCTGGGATGAAGCCCGGCATCAGGCTCCCTGCTCAGTGCAGAGTCTGCTTGAGATTCTCTCTCCCTCCCCCTCTGCCCTTCCTGCTGTGCTCTCTCTCTCTCTCACTTGCTCTAAAATAAATAAATAAAAAATTTTTAAAAATTTTAAAGAATGTTCATGTTGTATTAATTTCCATGTTATGTCTCCAGGAGGATGTTCCAGACCAGCTTAACTTAAATCTCCACTAATTATCAATAAGATAAAGTTTATACAAACAGGTTAACACTACTATGAATGCTTTAAGTGTAAATACAAGCTTTTCCTGAGATCTTTCCAATACTCTGAGGATTTTGCAGCAAGACAAAGACTGATGTGGAATGACTGAGGGCTTCAACTGAAGTCTTATCTGCATTTCCAAAATTAATCCTAAACCCATAAGCATGCAATATCTGATGGTGACATTGGCTTGATTTCTCTCTACTATGAATTTAACTATAAGAAAACATGTGGTTCCCTTGGGGCACCTTGACTCGGGTGGTGATTCTAGGGTCCTGGGATGGAGCCCCACATCATGCTCCTTGCTCAACAGGGAGCCTGCTTCTCCCCTGCCTGTGCCCCCACCCCGGCTTGTGCATGCTGTCTGTCTCTCTGTCTCTATCATTCACTTTCTCTGTGTCAAATAAATAAGTAAAATCTTTATTTTAAAAAAAGGAAAGAAAGAAAAGAAAAGAAAACATGTGGCTCCCAACTATAGGCTTTCCCATGTCTGTTGTGTATATGCAGCTCCCTTCCAGAATAAATTTGACATTTAATAAAGTTTGAAAAGAGTGGTATTCATATGTAATACATCAACAGAGCTTTTTCCATCAGGGTGGATTTTCTGATGTAGAGTAAGATATGAACTCTGGATAAAGGTTTTCCACATTATTTCTCCAGGATGAACCCTCTGATGGTGAGTAAGCAAAGAACTCTGACAGAAACGTTCTCTACATTCATTACATTTGCATATTTCTCTCTAGGGTGAACTCTCTGGTGTGGTGTAAGTTGGGAGCTCTGGCTGAAGATTTCCCACACACCACCACACATAAGGTCTGCCCTGTCTTTGCTGCTGAATCTGCTATGAGCTTTGAATGAAAGCTTTCCCACACACACTGCATTTACTGGGCTTCTCTCCAGTGTTAAGTAACATGTTGAATAAGATGTGAGCCCCAACTAAAAGATTTCCCACATTCATTACTGTGCAGGGTTTCACTCCAGGGAGAAGTCTATAACGTAGAGCAAGACATAAATTTAGAATGAAGGCTTCCCCACACTGTACATGAATAAGGAAGGCCTCTCTCCTGCATGAGTTCTCTGATGTCTACTAAAGAGCAGTCTCTGATTGAAAGCATTTCCATATTCATTGCATTCACGGGGTTTCTTTCCAGTATGAATTCTTTAATATAGAATAAGTCATTATTTCTGACTGAAGTCTTTTCCACATTTTGTTTTACAACCATTCTCCCATGCTGAAAATGACCACAGGGTTTTCTACATTCTTCACATTTAAATGGCTTCTCTCCAGTGTGAGTTCTCTGGTGTTAAGTTGTGAGTTAAGACTGACTGCTTTTCCATATTTATTACACCCCTAAATTTTCCCTTTGCTATGAATAAGTTGATTCATGATTAGTTGCATAAGCTATAAGCCATAAAGTCTTTCAAATATTTATTATATTTATATGGTTTTTCTCCAGTGTGAATTTTCCTTTTTTCTTTTTTTCTTTTTTTCTCTTTTTCTTTTTTTCTTTCTTCTTTCTTTCTTTCTTTCTTTCTTTCTTTCTTTCTTTCTTTCTTTCTTTCTTTCTTTCTTTTTTGTGGTCCTCTAAGATTTAAAGTTTGACTAAAATCTTTCCCACAGGGGCACCTGTGTGTCTCAGTTGTTAAGCATCTGCCTTCAGCTTAGGTCATGATCTCAGGCTCCTGGGATTGAGCCCCACATGAGTACCTCTGCTCAACAGGAAGCCTGCTTCTCCCTCTCCCACTCACCCTGCTTGTATTCCCTCTCTCGCTGTGTTTCTCTCTGTCAAATGAGTAAATATCTTTTTTTAGAAATCTTTCCGGGGTGCCTGGGTGGCTCAGTGGGTTAAAGCCTCTGCCTTCGGCTCAGGTCATGATCTCAGAGTCCTGGGATCGAGCCCCGCATCAGGTTCTCTGCTCAGCAGGGAGTCTGCTTCCTCCTCTCTCTCTGCCTGCCTCTCTGCCTACTTGTAATCTCTGTCTGTCCAATAAATAAATAAAATCTTAAAAAAAATAAAAAAAAATCTTTCCCACGTTCAGGGCACCTGTGGGACTTTTTTTCTAGTATGAATTTGCTGATGAAGAATAAGATCTGAATTGTATTGAAGTTTTGGCCACACTCATCCCATCTATGGGCTTTGTCCTCTCTGGGATGTTTCTCACTGACATTTTCTCCTAGTTCATAAAATTCCTGGTCACTTCGCCTCATTGAGTGTTTCGTCCTGTGATGTGATCATTTCACTAAAGCTTTTATTCCAAGTTAGGGATTCCCTCAAAGCAGCCCCTTTGGTATTTTTTTGACAGTTGTCTGATACATCTTCGTCTTCCCTAAGTCTTGGCAGGAAATCCTGAGGGAGTATTTCTAATACACCATGGGTGGCTATGTATAAAATATTTGCAAATAATTGTTCATTCTCGACCCCCATTACAGAATATGGAAGGAAGAAGAGGAACAAAGATGCAAACATGACCACCACTGTGCAGGCCCTGAGGAGTCACTTTTAAGCAGCTGCTGATTCCTATCTTCAGAGCACATGCTGGTTGGAAGTGGTGCTGATAAGATTTGCCAGTGATTTCTTGGATATGATAACAAAGGCCACAGGCAACAAATTGAAAAATAGACAAACTGGACTTCATGAAAAAAATTTTTTAATTGTGCATCAAAAACATTATCAATAGTGGTGCTTGGCTGGATCAGCCAGTAAAGCATGTGACTCTATATCTCGAGATCATGAGTTTAAGCCCCATGTTGGGTGGGAGCATACTTAAAATAAATTTTTTTAAAAATTAAAAAAAAAAAACACTATCAACAGAGTAAAAAGGCAACACAGAAAATGGGAGATATATTTGTAAATCATAGATCTGATAAGGGATTGATATCCAGATCATATGGTTAATTCCTAAAACTCAACAAACACAAAACACATGACAACCTGAGTAAAATATGGACAAAAGACTTGAATTACTACATTCCTACAAAGAAATTACTACAAAGGCTTTACTACAAAGAAATTTACAAATGGTCAATAAGCACATGAAAAGATGAGCAATGTCACTAACCACTAGGGGAGTGCAAATCAAAACCACACCCAGATACCAGCCCACACCCATGAGGATGGCTATGGAAGAAGGAGGGGAAGGAAGGAAAGAAGGAAAGACCAGAACAAATGTTGACAAGAATGTGGAGGAATTGGAAAACTTGTGCACTGTTGGTACAAGTGTAAATGAGGCAGTTATTCAAAAATTTTAAAAATTAAAAAAATTTAAAATGTGATCCAGTAATTCTGAGACAGACCAGGGGCTGGACTTGGGTCCCCTCAACCCTGAGCACAAAATCCAGTGTTCCTTGGCTGCCACCATAAGAAGAGGAGGGGAAAAGCTGAAACTATGCCTCTTGAGTAGCAGATCCTGCAGGAATGCAGAGGGAAGACACGCACTGAAAGGAGGGTGCTTATTACAAAGACTAGCAAAGAACACTTTGTAACTCAACCCTCACCTTTGCTAGTGCCTTAGATCTGCAGTTAAGTATATTACCTGTTTATCCTGGTACTCCTCCCGAAGTGTTCGCCATCAGCTTTTGGTTGGTTGGAGTTTTTCTTATAGTAGCTTACTTAGAAAGACTGTTATGAGTAGTATGCCCCAAATTTGTGTGCATTCAAAATTGGTTGTACGAAGCTGTTAGTTTTCAAAGGTAGAAGCTTAGATCACTGATTTAAGATATTTCTTCTTACAGCCATTTAAAGTTATACATTTTCTTTAAGCATAGCTTAGATACATCCAAAAAATTTTTAATATGTTGTATTTTCATCATCTTTTAGTTCAAAATATTATCTAATTTTTCTTGTGATTTCTGCTTTGACCTCCTGATTGTTTGGATATGTATTTAATTTCCAAACAGCTAATGTTTTCCTAGTTATTATTGTTATTAATTTATAATTTAATTCTGTTGTGGTCAGAAACATAATCTGTATGGTTTCATTATTTTTACATGTATTTGCTCATTTTAGGACCCAAAATTTGGTCTATCCTGGTAAATGTACCATGTAAACTTTCAAAGAATGAGTATTCTGCTTTTATGAAGCTATGTAAATATCAATTAAGTGAAGATGTTAATTGCATTGTTCATATCTTCTATGTCTTAGCAAGATTTTGTCTAGTTTTTCTTTCATCTGAGAGAGAGATGTTGAAATACCCAAATATGGTTGTAAGATTATCTCTTTCTCCCCCTTTTTTTTCTATTTGCCTAATATATTTTGAAGCTGTGTTATTTGGCTCATCACATTAATGATTACCATTATCAAGTGTCCCTCTTTATCCTCTGATAATATATTTTGTTCTGAAATATATTCTATCTGATACTAACATAGCAACTCCAGCCTCCTTACACTTACTGTAATTTAACCTTGCTGTGTCTATAATTTAAGTGACTCTCTTGTAGACAGGATGCAGATGGGTCCTTTTTAAATTTTTTTTATTTTTATTTTTTTAGTCCATCTTGACAATCCTTGTCTTTTAATTGAGGTGCTTTGCCTGTTAATGTTTAATGTAATTATTGATACATTTCATAAAGGCATTTGTGAATAATATCTTATTTATTATTTTACAAATATCTCTTTTTTGTGTTCCCCTGTGCCTCTTTCTTGCCTTTATTTGGGTTGTTTGAATATTTTTAGAATTCCATTTTAATTTGTCTATTTGCTGTTTATCTTTTTCATTTTTTATTTTTATTCCTTAAGATTTTATTTCTTTATATGAGAGAGAGAGAGAATTCATGAGATGGGGGAGGGTCAGAGGGAGAAGCAGACGCCCAGCCAAGTGGGGACCCGGATGTGGGGATTGATCCTGGGACTAGAGGATCATGATCTGAGCCAAAGACAGACATTTAACTGACTGAGCCACCCAGCTTTTTGCATTTTTTAAATAGTGATTTTTTCCTAGGGATTACAATTTACATACTTAAGTTTCACAGTGTACTAATGGTTCATCATGTACTATTTCATAAAATCCAGAAATCTTGGGGCGCCTGGGTGGCTTAGTGGGTTAAAGCCTCTGCCTTCGGCTCAGGTCATGATCCCAGAGTCCTGGGATCGAGCCCCACATCAGGCTCCCTGCTCAGCGGGGAGCCTGCTTCCTCCTTGTTCTCTGCCTGCCTCTCTGCCTACTTGTGATTTCTGCCTGTCAAATAAGTAAAATAAAATCTTAAAAAAAAAATCCAGAAATCTTGCAACCATCCCATCCTTGTTATGGGTGTGCTATGTATTACATCTATATACATATTTAAACTCAACAAGAAAATGTTGTGCTTAGTTTAAAGTTATATCATTTACAAAAAAATTAAAAGAAAATGGTCCCCCAAAGCAGTTTTGTTCATTTGCCCCAATATCTTCATGTCCAGTGCTCTTCATTCCTCTCCAACAGTCTGAGTATCTACTGAGTGTTATTTCCCTTCATTCAGAAGAACTTCCTTTGGCATTTCTTGTGGTGCACATTTGCTGCGTCAATTCTTTTTTCTTTTTTATGCAAATACCTTTATTTTTCTTTCATTCCTGGGTGATATTTTCTTTGGACATAGAAATCTGGATTTACAGTGTTTATCATGCAGTTTCTCTTTTCTTTTCTTTTCTTTTCCTTCTTTCTTTCAGAGGGGGAGTGGGAGGGGCAGAGGGAGAAGGAAAGAATCCTAAGCAGGATCCACCCCCAGTACAGTGAGCCTGACATGGGGGCTTGATCCAACAACCCTGAGATCATGACCTGAGTGGAAACCTAGAGTCAGATGCTTAAGCCGCTGAGCTACCCAGGCATCCCCCATGCAGCGCTTATAAAGATGTTTCCCTCTCTCTTGGCCTCAGTGGTTTTCAATAAGGACTGTTATTAATCACAGCAGTGCTTCTGTGTACGTAGTAAGTTATTCTCTTGCTTTCGAGATTTGCTCTTTAGGCTTGTTTTTCAATAGTTTGACTATGACACACCTCAGTATGGGCCTTTGTGTTTATTTTGCTTGTTGTTGTTTAGCATCTGGATTCTGCAAATTTTTGTCTTTAATCAAATTCAGGAAATGTTGGACATTATTTCTTCTGAATTTTTTTATGTTCTGTACTCTCTTTGGTTTCCTTCTGGGATTCTAGCTATATAAATACATATTATTATATATCCAATTTCATTTAACAGGTACCCAAGGTTCTGTTTATTATTTTTTATTATTTTTTTAAGATTTATTTATTTATTTGACAGACAGAGATCACAAGTAGGCAGAGAGGCAGGCAGAGAGAGAGGAGGAAGCAGGCTCCCTGCTGAGCAGAGAGCCCAATGTGGGGCTCGATCCCAGGACCCTGGGATCATGACCTGAGCTGAAGACAGAGGCTTTAACCCACTGAGCCACCCAGGTGCCCCTGTTTATTATTTAAAAAAAAATTTTTTTTAGGCACTTGGGTGGCTCAGTCGGCTAAGCATCTGCTTTCCAATCAGGTCATGATCCCAGGATCCTGCCCATATCAGGCTCCCTGCTCAGTGGGTAGTCTGCTTCTCCTTCTCGCTCTTCCCTCCCCTGGCTCCGGTGCTCTCTCTCTCTTTCTCATGCTCCCTCTCTCAAATAAATAAATACAATCTTTTAAAAAATATATTTTTAGGGGCACCTGGGTGTCTCAGTGGGTTAAGTCCTTTGCCTTCGGCTTGGGTCATGGTCCCAGGGTCCTGGGATGGAGCCCCATGTCGGGCTCTCTGCTCGGTGGGGGGCCTGCTTCCCCCGCCCCGATCCTGCCTGCCTCTCTGCCTGCTTGTGATCTCTCTATGTGTTTCAAATAAATAAAAAATCTTTTTAAAAAAATCTTTTTTTAGGGCACCTGGGTGGCTCAGTTGGTTAAGCGTTTGTCTTCGGCTCGAGTAATGATCCCAGGAGTTCTGGGATCAAGCCCCACATCAGGCTCCCTGCTCAGTGGGGGGTCTGCTTCTCCCTCTCTGTCTGCTCCTCTCTGTCACCCCCATTCATGTTCTCTCTTGAAATAAATAAAATCTTTAAAAAACTTTTCTTATCTGTTTAAGAATCTTTATTGAGATAATTTCTGTGAATCCGGATCCAAGTTCACTTAACTCTCTTTTGCCATGTCTATTCACCTCTTAAGTTCATCAATTAATTTTTTAATTTAGAAATTGTATTTTTGAGTTCTAAAATGTCCATTAAAATTGCTTATAATTCTCTGCTGAGAATTCCCAGTTCATGCAGATTTTCATAATTTATTTTACTTCACTGAAGTTAATTACAATTGCTCTAAAATTCTTATCTATTAATTCCAACAGCCGGTTCATGTCAGGATCTAACTTGGTTGATTTTCTTTTCTCATGCAAATGTGTTGTATTTTCTTGGCTCTTCGTGTGTCGGCTAATTTTGGAGATTATGGATTGTTATTTTTCTCTGATGAGCATTGATTTCTTTGTGTTAACAGCTAATTTTCATGGCTGAGCTCGAACTGAAAACTTTCTTATGCAGCATCTCTGGTATCTTCCTGTCTTTTGTTGTTAGCTGGGCTCTTTGAGTCTGTTTTCTGCATATGTGGTTCAAGGGTCAGTCAGAGATGTGGGTGTAGAGTTTGGGGTTCCCCTTTCTGATACCTTCCCTTCC